TCCTCAATCTCGGCCAGGGGGTTGATGGGGGGAGTCATATCATTCAAGAGACTGCCGCTGTTCACCACTGTCTGGTCAATCAGGATCTCAAAACTGTTATCAGGGTTCAGCACTGCAGGAGGACACATTGACACACATGAGGAATTCTGTCCAACTTTCATATGAGATTTGTCTGTTTTGTCAGACGGGCTGAATGAACATGTAAATGTACTCTTTGACAGTAGGTGGCGCTTATGGAAGCAGGATGAGATGCGTGTTGTTACCCAGTGTGAAGAGGTGGGTCTTCTTGTCTGTGTAGTATGTGCGCAGGTCCGCGTCGGGCTTCTTAGCATGCTTCTCCTCAAACTCGCCGTTTTTTGGGTTCTTGTGTCTAAAGATGAAGTGCAGTTTGTAATCCTCACCACACTTATCAGGCCCAAACATGATGGTGTACGGAGTCTTATCCACAAACTCCTCCTGTGAGGACAGACAGGGAACAGCGAGGTGAGGACACATACAATTGCATCTTATACATTAAGTGTTGTGTCCAGCTCATATGCTATCATTCAACTATGTATATACACAGCAATACAGGTCACCTGATTCTGCATACATCACAAGGGTCAGCACTAATTAAATACAGGTGTAAACGGGTCCAAAACGTTTTGAGATTGTATCACTAGATCGGTTAGGAAAACAGCAGACGGGCTGAATGAACATGTAAATGTACTCTTTGACAGTAGGTGGCGCTTATGGAAGCAGGATGAGATGCGTGTTGTTACCCAGTGTGAAGAGGTGGGTCTTCTTGTCTGTGTAGTATGTGCGCAGGTCCGCGTCGGGCTTCTTAGCATGCTTCTCCTCAAACTCGCCGGTTTTTGGGTTCTTGTGTCTAAAGATGAAGTGCAGTTTGTAATCCTCACCACACTTATCAGGCCCAAACATGATGGTGTACGGAGTCTTATCCACAAACTCCTCCTGTGAGGACAGACAGGGAAGAGCGAGGTGAGGACACATACAATTGCATCTTATACATTAAGTGTTGTGTCCAGCTCATATGCTATCATTCAACTATGTATATACACAGCAATACAGGTCACCTGATTCTGCATATATCACAAGGGTCAGCACTAATTAAATACAGGTGTAAACGGGTCCAAAACGTTTTGAGATTGTATCACTGAAAACACGTGGAGGCAGTCAGAATCCGTCGTGAATGCGCCCTGGATTGCAGCGTAACATCACCTAGTCATTTAACGTGATAGTTCTGGGACGTGCTGTGAGAAAGCGCACCAAAACAAGCTAATTTAACCAATCAATAAATGTCCACGAGTCATAGGTTTGTTTTTCTTAATTGTTTGTATGCTGAACAATTCATTCAGGTATACACACCTTTTCTTACGATTACAAATGAGTAATTAGACGAGTAATTGGACATGAAATAGGACACGAAACTTACCATCATACTTTGCAATGTCCTCATCAATGCCCTCTTTCTTGGCCTGGGATAAAACCCATCTAGATGGGGGGAAAAAACAATCTAGAAAAACACTTCACAAACAAAGGCTCTTTTTGCTCATTTATAACAAATATTTTCAAATGATTTACATGACCGTTCAAAAATTTGAAGTTGATAAGATTTTTGTTTTGTTTTGAAAGGCATTAATAATTTTATTTAGCCTAGCAGCATTAATCGGACTAAACGTGCCTGTAGGACATTTGTTACAAAATATTTCTATTCCAAATTAATTCTGTTCTTATGAACTTTCTATTCGAAGAATCTTGAAAAAGTAGATCACAATTTTCACAAACCATATTATGCAGCACAACTGTTTTCAACACTATTAACAATCAGAAACGTTTCCTAAGCAACAAAAATCAGCATATTAGAATGATTTCTGAAGGATCATGTGACACTGAAGACTGGTATAATGATGCTGAAAATACAGCTTTGATCACAGAAATAAATTACATTTGACCATATATTCAAATAGAAAGCAGTTATTTGAATTTTTTTTTTTTAAAGAGTATAAGAGACTTTTCAAAAATATTTTTAGAAGTCTTACTGACCCCAAACTATTGAACATCAGTGTATTTATGACAAGCATTTTCAATATATGACCTCTCTGTTGTGAGGATAATAGACATCTTACCCCTGAAGTGTTCCTTTATCAAATGACTCGGCAAAGTAGTGCTCTCCCATCGGCTCTGGAGCTTTATATGTCACCTAAAGACGTTTGGGGAAGATGTTAACCTCGTTGCACCAGCATAATACTATTTTATATTTAACAACGTTTAAGCTTACACAGAGAGTTGTGTTACAGGGAAGAAATAAAGTCATGCGGGTTTGGAATGACATAAGGGACAGTAAATCTGGACGGAATTTTATTTTTCTGTGAACTTGCCCTTTAAGTGACATGATTAATTATTGGCAGATCAAATACCTCAAACAAACACAGACTACCGCTGCTCTGGCTAAATCTCAATTATAACTTCCCATCAAGCATCAAGTCTCGTTATTCTCAAGAAATCTCAAGAAGTGGATGCTATTTTGAGCTTAAGGTATAGCGCTGCGGTGGTTATGAGCTGGTTTAGGTCGCTCAGACGGTTATTAAACGCCACTAGCCTCTGTCCCTGGATCAACACATGGGTGATAGTTCAGCAGAATGAACAGAGATCTACATTTAAGCATGAAGATCCTGGTGTGTTGTCTAGGTAAAGCACATTTTACAATCAGCCGCAGTATGAGCAGGTAACGCTCTAACCGTGGGCACAGGCGGGGGACTGGGGGCTTTTTCTTCCTCTTCCTCAACATCTTCCTCTTGCATGTCATCGATGGCATCTTCCACATCCATCTCCATGTCATCGGCCTCCTCCTGTGCCCTCACATGACTCATGAGGCCCAGACACAGACTCAGAGAGAGCAGCGCCACACATAACCGCATCTTCAGATCCATAGTCTACAGACACAAGAGGGAATGAATTAGACATGGGTCAGGACAGTCATGCTGGTTGTCTATGGTTTATGATGTTGGCTGTGAGTTTTCTTAAAGGATAGTTCACTCAAAAATGAAAATTCTGTGATGCTTTAACTTTACTCACCCTCTTGGAAAAATACTATGGAAGTCAATGGGGACCATTAATTGTTTGGTTATCCACATTCTTAAAAAAAATCTTCTTTGATGTTCAGTAGAAGAAATCATTTTATACAGGTTTGGAACAACTTGAGGATGAGTAAATGTTGACAGAATTTTCATTTTTAGGTGAACTGTCCGTTTAAATCATACAGGACTTCTTGAAAACTGATAGCCTTTCAATCAATCAGTTTTCTGGAAAACCACCTAACATTTTCCTGAAGACCTACTTAAACTGAAAATGTTCTCTCAGCTCTTGCCGTGTAAAATCTCAGTATGATCATGCTGGTGTGACATCTGCACAAGACAAATCAAACAGTTAACCGCACGTTTACCTGTGTGTGTTAAGGGTCAATGACTGGAAGTTTGTCCTTAAGGCTCAGACATACCAAACAAACATCAAAGAACTAGCGGCAATGAAAGGAAATGTACTGCCGTCTCACATTGTCTGCGTCTGTTGAGCTTGAACACTGCAAAGACCAACTGCGTCTGAGCGGAAATGACTCTCCATACAGCAGGTGGCTAAGCTGATTCGCTCAACTAAACAGCCAATCAGAGTGCTCCGTCTCACCGACAGGCTTCGCCAATGATTCAACAAGCTCAATCGCTTGAGCACAAACAATTAGTTAAAAGTCTATAAAAAAAACTGCCTTATGCGCAATTTAAATGTTTGTAAACAACCATTTAAAATTTGAGTGTTGATTATTATATCTAAAACTACATACCAACTTAACAGTTTGTAGCTATTTTGAACCTTTATTATTACAGTAATGTACAGGGCTCCAGACTCATTCTTCCCACTGGTCGCTCTTTTGCAACCAAATTTCTCAGCTGGTCGCACGAGCACATGATTTGGTTGCAATATTTATATATTTTTTTGCGCTACAACATGGGATTATTCAATGCATGCTGATGAACTTTTATCATAGTTTATAGTTATATGGAAATGAAAGTGGTTAACATTCAACCCATTCTTTATCATCAGTACTATAGACACCACTATAGTATATGCGAACGGGAGTTTCTCTTTTGCTGTGTTAAGCCGCGGGCTTCGGATGCTTTCACTGTTGAATTCGCGATTTTGTTGTTACCGTTTTGCTTGCATACATCTCCACACCTTTCATTTTTTAAGACAAACAAAAGATGGATTCATTGTTATTCTTAATTAAAAAGCACAACAACAATAAATTAGTAAGATACAATGACACACTAGCTTACAAAACGTTTATTAAAAGGTGCTGTATGTAAGTTCTTTACTAAAGCATAAAAATTCCATAATATATGTTTGCAGATATTTAAGAAGCATGCTAAGTTAACATACTTGTTTATCTGAAAAACAATGCTACAGTCAGTTATTCTCCTTTGAAAATGTGCGTTCCGGGCCGGAATGTCGGTCTCTGTTTTGGTTTGTGAAACCTGCCCGTTGAATTCGCGATTTTGTTGTTACCGTTTTGCTTGCATACATCTCCACACCTTTCATTTTTTAAGACAAACAAAAGATGGATTCATTGTTATTCTTAATTAAAAAGCACAACAACAATAAATTAGTAAGATACAATGACACACTAGCTTACAAAACGTTTATTAAAAGGTGCTGTATGTAAGTTCTTTACTCTACTAAAGCATAAAAATTCCATAATATATGTTTGCAGATATTTAAGAAGCATGCTAAGTTAACATACTTGTTTATCTGAAAAACAATGCTACAGTCAGTTATTCTCCTTTGAAAATGTGCGTTCCGGGCCGGAATGTCGGTCTCTGTTTTGGTTTGTGAAACCTGCCCACTGCCAGTTTACCCAATTGTATTTCGGCACCCCGGGTTGCCAGTTGGCGGGAAACACTGCGTATTTAATTCCATTCATTGTCAAGTGCGCTCGTTTCTGTTGGTGTCGTCAATCTGGCAAACAGCGTGTGTGCGTCAAGTCTGAGGAGGAGGGCCGGGTGGAAAAACCCTCTCCAATATTTTGAATTTGGACTGCAATACCTAGTTCAACCACTCTGTGTCAATCCTACATACAGCACCTTTAACAAAAACGAATAAGACGAGGCATGGCACACATCACATGCTGTATTATATACAGACTAATAAATTACAGAACACTTAGCAAACTCTGAGGAATCAAATAAATAAATAAAAGAGAGCCTCCATAGCGTAACGTGAGGTAAACAGCAAAGATAAGTTTTTCAAAAATGCATTGCATGTTTTCCCCCCCACAAGAATACCAGCATGATCACCTTCTCTGGTTTAAGAAGCGGTCTTTTACTTGACTTTCGCTTGAAAACCATCCATCGTTTCCTCAATATGCGCGTAATTTATGCTGCGCGCGGCGAGTATACTGTTACTCGACGCTGTTTCTTTATGCTTTCAGTTTCGTTTGCCGTTTGATGTTTCTCATATGCAACAGAAATTGCAGCGCTTATGAGTTGACCAACGCAGTGGACGCGCCAGTGCGACCGCACACTATTTAGTCGCACAGGCAGAAAAAATGGTCGCAAAATGTGACCATTGGTCGCAGTCTGGAGCCCTGCATGTACCAATTTGACAGGGTTCCTGAATAGTTAATAGCATTAGCGGAGAGATCATTTTCCTTAAGAAAAATCTGTACCTGATATATTTCTTCAAATATATCGAATCAAGATAATATTGATCGAAATCAAATCGTATTAAGAGCTTGTGAAACAGAATTGAATCGTGAAATCTGTAACTATACCCAGCCCTATAAGTCCCACAACACATCAGGACTTCATCACCAGCACATGTGAAGTGATACACTGTTAGCAGAATTTCTTCTGAAGACTCTTTTCCATTATCACATGGTACATTCACGTCACAGTGCCCAGTCCTCACAGACAGGTGCGCACACTGATGTAAACAGCGGACTGTGGTATTTGCAGACTGTGGTGTGTGCAGTGGACATATTGCCATCTCAGGGTCCCCATGACTACAGTCGCCACGGTGATGGCAGAAAGGCGGAGTTATGTAGCATCAGCCCCTTTTCTTTAATAAGATTTACCCCAATGAGATTACACACACACACCAACATGTGCAAACAAACACTAAATAAGCAGAAATTTAACATGAAACATGTGTTTTGTGGTGGATAAACCAAGTGTTTGCCCTCTATAGTCACTATGAGCGTCATTTCAACTGAAGTATCATTTGGAGTGAGCCAGCAGAAGCAAATATAAATACTCTAATGACCACCTCAATTTCATCCCATTACATGACCCACAAACCCTTGCTTTCTCTCTTTAGTGTGAGCATGTGATTACTGTCATTCGCTTGAAGAGCGGAGCTTTACAGCGCTGTCAGATCATTCCTCAGGGGTATCAATAAACATTGCAAAAAGCCTTAAACGGGCAACCCGGTCGTGTTCAAACACACACAGGCGGTGTACACCACAGACGGTTGTGCTAATGAGCTTAACACACTCAGGATTACCGCGACTGATGCAGTGGTGCCAACAGCATCTGATAGCAACACGTCACCATGGCAGCCGAAACAAAACAAAAACGACTTTTACTGGAGTACACACAAACAACAAGACTTGACCAACCTTGCAAACAAACCACATGAACTAGGGCTGCACGGTTTGAGAACAGAAAAATCAGTAAAATTTTAGATTAAAAAAATATTGCAATTGTGATTCAAAATTAGGCAACATTAGACAACTATTTTGTTGTAAAAATAAATTAAGCATTTCTCATTATGAATTTGAGAAGATGGTTAGCACGTTTCGAATGCATGTTTTTAGTGACCCAAACTCAGAGCAGATGCAAAGAAGAGTTTGTGAGGAGCAGATTTTTACTGTGAACTGAGCCACTCTGAGAAACTGAAAACACTGTATCAGGAGCTGCTCATGTGTATAAGAACACAATGCCATGCTTCACTCCGAAACACACACCGCATCAAAGTCTATTTAAGGCAAGTCACTGCACTCGGCAGCCATCTTTGAAACACCTCTCGGGCATGCAAGCGCAGCTCCTATCTTTTTGAATGGAGAAACTTCAGATTCTCCAAAACTGTTCACCAAGCTTACGATTAAATTTCATATTTGAAATCACCAATGAAATCTGACAACTCCGTCTCATAAATGTTGTTTCTTTTGCTCAAATGGCGTTAAAAAGCTTATTTTTCAGGCTAGACCAGCCAGTGCGCACATCTAACGCTGAATGTTTCTATAGCAACCGGGACTTCTAACCATAGATATGTATAGGTAGATGCCTCATCCAACAGCTCCAAGCATGTAGAAACCTCTGCCATCTTGCAACAGTTAACGTGACGTCATTCACCATAATAATGAATATTCGAAGATGCCACAATCCTGCACAGCCGATGGATGTAAAAACCGCCGGGATTTAAACTCCCGAAGAAACGGGATAACCTATCGCAGGTGAGAATTCGAGAGAGGGGTGGAACCAAAGATATTCGTTGATTATGACGTCAAGTTGACCCTTCAATTTGGCGGACGGCTTATGTATAGCAGCCAGTAGAAACAGTCGCTAATGAGGCATCTACATATATATCTAGGCTTCTAACGGCAGCTGCAGTGACACGATGACTTTACCGATTAGTGATTGGCTCTTTTACTCAGAAGGCGGGGCTTCCTTCGATGGAGCGGCCATATTGAGCATTGCATTTATCCCCATTCAAAACTATGAGTGACACGCCTTGGTTATTCTATAGTCTTTGACTGCATATATTTGTTTCACTGAATTTGTGATGTCAGTTTTTTTTTTTTTTTTTTTTTTTTTTTGAGTAACCCTACATAATATATCAACCAGACAAATTAATCAGACCATATTTGCATGTCACACCCACCTAACCAAGGGTGTCGGTTTAAAAACTTTTTTTTTCGAATTACATTTATATTCAACAATATACACAATATTGTTACCATCTAAATCAATAACTCTTGAGATATCTGCCATAAATCATTAATATCTAAACTATAAATACAAACAAACAAACAGAGAGAGAGAGAGCGAGCGCGAGAGAGAGAGCGAGAGAGAGAGAGAGCGAGCGCGAGAGCGAGAGAGAGAGCGAGCGCGAGCGCGAGCGAGAGAGAGAGCGCGAGCGAGAGAGAGAGCGCGAGAGCGAGAGAGAGAGAGAGAGAGAGCGAGAGAGAGAGCGAGAGAGAGAGAGAGAGAGCGAGCGCGAGAGAGAGAGCGAGCGCGAGCGAGAGAGAGAGCGAGCGCGAGAGAGAGCGAGAGAGAGCGCGAGAGAGAGAGCGCGAGCGCGAGAGAGAGCGCGAGAGAGAGAGAGAGCGCGAGCGAGAGAGAGAGCGCGAGCGAGAGAGAGAGAGAGAGAGCGAGCGCGAGAGAGAGAGAGAGCGAGCGCGAGAGAGAGAGAGAGCGAGCGAGCGCGAGAGAGAGCGCGAGAGAGAGAGAGAGAGCGCGAGAGAGAGAGAGAGAGAGAGAGCGCGAGGCGAGAGAGAGAGAGAGAGCGAGCGCGAGAGAGAGAGAGCGAGCGAGAGAGAGAGCGAGCGCGAGCGAGAGAGAGAGAGCGAGCGCGAGCGAGAGAGAGAGCGAGCGCGAGCGCGAGAGAGAGAGCGCGAGCGCGAGAGAGAGAGAGAGAGAGAGAGAGAGAGAGCGAGCGCGAGAGAGAGAGAGAGAGTGTGTGAGTGAGAGAGAGAGAGAGTGAGTGAGAGAGAGTATTGTTGTGAGGCTGGGGGTCACAGGATACACTCCTGACCCATCTGTTGCTCACTGAACTAATGATCATGTGTGGGGGTAGAGATTACAGACAACACATAACGCAAGCACTCCATCATCAGCTCTATTAAAGCTAATCAGAGGTTAACATCAGCATCCGAGCTAAAGCAACACAAGACATCGGCAAAATTAAATATGCAGAGACTCACGCAAAAGCATCTAAACACTTGCTAAGTGAAGACCACCACTGTTTGATTTAACAAAAAAAATGAAGATAAGCATTATTTATGCCTAAAAATAAAACTGTTGTGGAAATGAAAACAGGTTAATCAACACTAACAGTAAAACTCACTGTTTCCCCTTCGAGAAAGACTGAAACACTGTTTGAGCAACAGCATGCTTTCAGACCAATATGCTATTTGAACGAAAAAGTAAAATGCTACAGCATTTTTCTTTCTCAAACAAACAAGTCTTTAATATGATTAGTGCACTAGAAATAAAAGCAAAAAAAACCAACTATTTTGTGGTTCATTTTGTTTTTATTCTAAAACATTACTTAAAAAAAAAAAAGCAACTTTTGACAGTGCTCCCAGATTTTTGGACTGAGAAAAGTAATTAAATTAACACTAATTTCATACAATATTTACTCAAAACTCACATTAGTTCAAAGAAGAATATGCCTGAAATTGACATGTCTCCAGCAGATTTAGAAGCAAACGCAAACACACACACACACACACACACACACACACACACACACACACACACACACACACACACACACACACACACACACACACACACACACACGTGGGAACTAAGGAACTAATTAATCGTTCAAGCAGACAGACTTATCGGCCCATTAATTAGACTGCAATACCAACCATCGCAACAGAACAGACTCATTTCTATGAAGGTTCACTAGAGGGGGTCTAGCGGTTCCTGTGCACAAAGCAGATTCATTCGCTCTGGACTGGACAGACTCCATCCTGCCCCCTATAAAACAAACAATTGGGACTGAAAGAGGAAGACATTTAACACTGCAGTGCTAACTGACAGTGAGCTGCTTCAAATCCAGTTTGAGCAGAGACCTGCTCTGCTGATTAAATACGACTGATCCATTAGAGCCGCCACAGCACACGCTGATGAAGCCCACGGGCTCCGACTGACCCATACATATCAGCGGCTCTGATCAGCCAGTCTTCTCTGGCCACTGCAGTGTCCTGTGGTCAGACAGGTTTGCAAAATGACTGATATGCAAACCTATCTGAAGTGTATACAACACTTTCCTACAGAGCTGTGCTAGTTTCAAGTCTTTCCTTTTCACATGACAAAATTTAAACTCACATTTCATGTCCACTTATTTAGTATGTTGTAAAAGGTGATACTGATTATGCACAATATATAATGTAATATGATTTTACTGATTTAAGTGAAAGCAACACTGTGGATATAACAATGATTTTCATGGTTTTATAAGGCCATTAAGTTTCCTAAAGATCCTGTCATTAGACTAGTTTAGCTGTCCTTCCTTTTTCCACGACTTGCAAGTATAAGATGTTAACGGTGTCTAAAATCGTAATTTCTGCTGTAAAAACGCTGTTAGTGTTGCTAAGCACAATTCATGTCCTTTAATGAGTTCAAACTGAATCAATTCAGAATCTATTAGCTTAACTCTGCATGATTCGTTTGCGTCGTTAAACTCAAAAAGTGTTTTTGTGTGCTAAAATATTTTCATTTCGGCATGAAATGAAAATTCACTATTTTCTAAGTATATAGAAGTTATTAGGAACAATTCATCCATGCATAAGTTTAATCGTCTGTTTGTTTTTGTACCTTGTAATTTTTAAATCAAAATATCATAACAGGATCTTCCAGGGAAATTATAGACTTCTCTCTGGTGTTAATAAAAACATATGCAGATGCCCCATTACAACATTTTAGATAACTATCATTACAATGACAGCCATGCACAGCCAGCCAGTTCTTGCATTATAAACACCTTCAGGCTGATACAAGACTCGATCATCATATTGCAGGTTATTCTGCAACTGGTCGGTTGTAAGTTATATTTGTTGTTTATACAGCTCAAAGTGCTGGTTGAATGATCGTCCAGAGCAGGCGCTCGTTATGTCAGCCTTCCATGAGATTAAGCCACATGTGGTGGTCCCGGCATGGCCTAACCGGGGGTTCGTTCAATTCAGCACACAATAGTGAATGCATAGACTTCCAGAACACATGGTTAAGCCTCTTTACGCTCGAGTGCCACAGATCTGGGCTTGAGATGATGGGGGAAGGTACCGCAGACCTTCTACACACAACCTTCCCAGAGTGCACCAGTGAAGTGTGACTCCGAGCAAGATACAGGTCATTAAAGTGAACTAATAAAACTGCATTCAAATGACATAGCCATCAACAACGAGGAGCTTGAATGACAGTGTTAGGAAAGCGTTAAACGTCTTGACAAGAGTTAACACCAGAAAAGGGATCTTTTGGTTATACGTAAAGGTCGAAAATGAGCTCTACATTCAAAGTGCCAGAATCTGAAAACACCTAGTTACATGTTAACAACCCACAAGAGGGTCAGGACGATCATTTTCTTGCTGGGAAATAATCTGACTACAACTCATTTAAGTTTCTGGCCCATGCAAACATCAGTCTCTCTCCCGTGACCTCTGCCTTTCCTCTGAAAGGGCGGAAATGACGGCTCAACTGCACACTAGCTCAGCCGGTTTGGCTTTTCCGCATTATATCCCCCACACAGCCATGCATGCCATCCCACAAACATGCATTGATGAACTCCGACTGAAAGCAAAAGATTAGGTTGAGTGATATTTGACCATGCGCGTATCTATGTGCACCGACCATGTATTTAATATTAGAAACACCTACCATCTAACTATACATATGAATGAATATTTTAAACACACACGAATAATGTTCAAGAAAAAAAATGAATTAAATCTTACATACATGTACACAATCATTTTAATGTGCAGAGACATGCCCAACTTGAAAACAGGTACATCAATGTTTGACTACCGTTAGCTTCCCTCAGTTACTTCTTCAGCACATCTCTCTCAGCAGCTCAGCCCACCCCAACATTAGAGAAGCCCACTGCAGCTCTCACCTCACTCCGCTGACAAGAAAACCACATGAGGCGGGTTTCTGTGATCTTACTGATGTGACACCTGTATCAGTTAGCTTAGCTTAGCTTAGCTTAGCTCACGCAGCTCGCTGACCAGCTGGCCTTTAGCTCTACGCGCATACTCTAGCTTTACTCTCTGGCTGAACCATGTAATCCCGCTTTCTGACAATAATACATCGGCAAGCCGTATCGCACATGAACTGAACGGCTCCTAGGTCTACTAAAGCTCATATGAGCAGCTGTAGCGTACTCACCCCTGCTCACTGATGCAGCACTCCGCCTGCGACTCCAGCGTCACGTGCGCTTATACACGATACAGCCAGAAACAGAGGCTCCGCCTTCCACGCGCATCCGATTGGCTACTGCATTCAGCGTAGACACGCCTCTTGGACAATGCGAGATGATGCACACACACACACACACACACACACACACACACACACACACACACGTGGGAACTAACACTTCTGTTAATCGTTCAAGCAGACAGACTTATCGGCCCATTAATTAGACTGCAATACCAACCATCGCAACAGAACAGACTCATTTCTATGAAGGTTCACTAGAGGGGGTCTAGCGGTTCCTGTGCACAAAGCAGATTCATTCGCTCTGGACTGGACAGACTCCATCCTGCCCCCTATAAAACAAACAATTGGGACTGAAAGAGGAAGACATTTAACACTGCAGTGCTAACTGACAGTGAGCTGCTTCAAATCCAGTTTGAGCAGAGACCTGCTCTGCTGATTAAATACGACTGATCCATTAGAGCCGCCACAGCACACGCTGATGAAGCCCACGGGCTCCGACTGACCCATACATATCAGCGGCTCTGATCAGCCAGTCTTCTCTGGCCACTGCAGTGTCCTGTGGTCAGACAGGTTTGCAAAATGACTGATATGCAAACCTATCTGAAGTGTATACAACACTTTCCTACAGAGCTGTGCTAGTTTCAAGTCTTTCCTTTTCACATGACAAAATTTAAACTCACATTTCATGTCCACTTATTTAGTATGTTGTAAAAGGTGATACTGATTATGCACAATATATAATGTAATATGATTTTACTGATTTAAGTGAAAGCAACACTGTGGATATAACAATGATTTTCATGGTTTTATAAGGCCATTAAGTTTCCTAAAGATCCTGTCATTAGACTAGTTTAGCTGTCCTTCCTTTTTCCACGACTTGCAAGTATAAGATGTTAACGGTGTCTAAAATCGTAATTTCTGCTGTAAAAACGCTGTTAGTGTTGCTAAGCACAATTCATGTCCTTTAATGAGTTCAAACTGAATCAATTCAGAATCTATTAGCTTAACTCTGCATGATTCGTTTGCGTCGTTAAACTCAAAAAGTGTTTTTGTGTGCTAAAATATTTTCATTTCGGCATGAAATGAAAATTCACTATTTTCTAAGTATATAGAAGTTATTAGGAACAATTCATCCATGCATAAGTTTAATCGTCTGTTTGTTTTTGTACCTTGTAATTTTTAAATCAAAATATCATAACAGGATCTTCCAGGGAAATTATAGACTTCTCTCTGGTGTTAATAAAAACATATGCAGATGCCCCATTACAACATTTTAGATAACTATCATTACAATGACAGCCATGCACAGCCAGCCAGTTCTTGCATTATAAACACCTTCAGGCTGATACAAGACTCGATCATCATATTGCAGGTTATTCTGCAACTGGTCGGTTGTAAGTTATATTTGTTGTTTATACAGCTCAAAGTGCTGGTTGAATGATCGTCCAGAGCAGGCGCTCGTTATGTCAGCCTTCCATGAGATTAAGCCACATGTGGTGGTCCCGGCATGGCCTAACCGGGGGTTCGTTCAATTCAGCACACAATAGTGAATGCATAGACTTCCAGAACACATGGTTAAGCCTCTTTACGCTCGAGTGCCACAGATCTGGGCTTGAGATGATGGGGGAAGGTACCGCAGACCTTCTACACACAACCTTCCCAGAGTGCACCAGTGAAGTGTGACTCCGAGCAAGATACAGGTCATTAAAGTGAACTAATAAAACTGCATTCAAATGACATAGCCATCAACAACGAGGAGCTTGAATGACAGTGTTAGGAAAGCGTTAAACGTCTTGACAAGAGTTAACACCAGAAAAGGGATCTTTTGGTTATACGTAAAGGTCGAAAATGAGCTCTACATTCAAAGTGCCAGAATCTGAAAACACCTAGTTACATGTTAACAACCCACAAGAGGGTCAGGACGATCATTTTCTTGCTGGGAAATAATCTGACTACAACTCATTTAAGTTTCTGGCCCATGCAAACATCAGTCTCTCTCCCGTGACCTCTGCCTTTCCTCTGAAAGGGCGGAAATGACGGCTCAACTGCACACTAGCTCAGCCGGTTTGGCTTTTCCGCATTATATCCCCCACACAGCCATGCATGCCATCCCACAAACATGCATTGATGAACTCCGACTGAAAGCAAAAGATTAGGTTGAGTGATATTTGACCATGCGCGTATCTATGTGCACCGACCATGTATTTAATATTAGAAACACCTACCATCTAACTATACATATGAATGAATATTTTAAACACACACGAATAATGTTCAAGAAAAAAAATGAATTAAATCTTACATACATGTACACAATCATTTTAATGTGCAGAGACATGCCCAACTTGAAAACAGGTACATCAATGTTTGACTACCGTTAGCTTCCCTCAGTTACTTCTTCAGCACATCTCTCTCAGCAGCTCAGCCCACCCCAACATTAGAGAAGCCCACTGCAGCTCTCACCTCACTCCGCTGACAAGAAAACCACATGAGGCGGGTTTCTGTGATCTTACTGATGTGACACCTGTATCAGTTAGCTTAGCTTAGCTTAGCTTAGCTCACGCAGCTCGCTGACCAGCTGGCCTTTAGCTCTACGCGCATACTCTAGCTTTACTCTCTGGCTGAACCATGTAATCCCGCTTTCTGACAATAATACATCGGCAAGCCGTATCGCACATGAACTGAACGGCTCCTAGGTCTACTAAAGCTCATATGAGCAGCTGTAGCGTACTCACCCCTGCTCACTGATGCAGCACTCCGCCTGCGACTCCAGCGTCACGTGCGCTTATACACGATACAGCCAGAAACAGAGGCTCCGCCTTCCACGCGCATCCGATTGGCTACTGCATTCAGCGTAGACACGCCTCTTGGACAATGCGAGATGATGATTGTCCAGAGTTCATGTCTGTCATAGACTGTGGGCTCCGCCCCCGACCTGCACCTCGTGGACACCCCTGATTGGCCGTCGAGGACACGGAAATAGACGCTTATTGGACACATCAGGGTAGACGCGAAAGATGACGGATACTTGTGCTGTGTCCGAAATGCCATACTGTCATACTACTCTTACTATTTCTGCAGTATCCAGTATGTATACTGTGCGTAGTATGCAACCTTTCTGTATGCATGGAATAAACGGATGACCTACTATATTTGCCAGAATCTGCTAAATATAGTACACTGCAATCATTACAGAAGCTGTGTGTGGAATGGCATGCTACCATACAACTCGTACTATATTGCAGTATGCTGTGTGTATACTGTGAATAGTATGTGGATTTTCTGTGTGCATGGAATTCCAGGATTACCTGCTACATTTGCTGAAATCTGATGTATGCATCTGAAGATGCTGCATGGGATACTGTTTCCCAGAACACAAGCGCTCCACTTGATGTTTCATCTTTAAATGCGTGAGTGAACTGGAGGCGGCAAATAGTCATTATAAACACCTTCACATGTACATGTTACTGTAAACTACAATATTGTAGCATATCGAAAAACAGTATCGTTAGTAGGACATACCTTAACTCTTTCACCGCCAGCATTTTTGATGATTTTCACTCAAATTTCATGACCCCCAGAATATTTTGTTTTATTAATATCTGAACCAAAATAAAGAAAGTGTGTATACTGTGAATAGTATGTGGATTTTGTGTATGCATGTTATTCCAGGATTACCTGCTACATTTGCTGAAATCTGATGTATGCATCTGGAGATGCTGCATGGGATACTGTTTCCCAGAACACAAGCGCTCCACTTGATGTTTCATCTTTAAATGCGTGAGTGAACTGGAGGCGGGAAATAGTCATTATAAACACCTTCATATGTAAATGTTACTGTAAACTACAATATTGCAGCGTATCGAAAAACAGTATGGTTAGTAGGACATACCTTAACTCTTTCACCGCCAGCATTTTTGATGATTTTCACTCAAATTTCATGACCCCCAGAATATTTTGTTTTATTAATATCTGAACCAAAATAAAGAACAAAGCCTCTACTTTTAAACAACAACAAAACCGTTTTATTCTAGCCTCAAGCTTGTTTTTTTTAAATCAACACTCGAATTACGTTTTATAAAAAAAAAAGCACGTTTTTATCAAATAAATGATTAAAAAAAATCGCGTTTTTATCAAATACTAGGCTACATCTGGATCATATTCAGTAGGATGATCAAAGCAAAGATGCAGTAGATGGCTTCCATCAACACCCCAAAGCTTGCACGGTCCTTTGCCACTTCTGGGATCGACTCTTCACTCATAACATTATTAGGCAGTTTTCATTTATATACTGTTTATTGTTGATGATCGCATTGTTTTTCATATGCATATGCATACATTACATACCAGATCGCTGTTTCTGCGTCTTCCTCGCATGTGTTTTTGATCGGCACATTCTAGACTCATTCAGGAGATGCTAAGAGCGCCCCCGAGCGTATAACAGAGGGAACGGGGAAACTGTTTGGCGGGGAAAGAGTTAATCTCTCTCGTTTCCGAAAATGATCTCACTTTTATAGCTATAGCGCTTTATGCAGTACAGATTGTTTCAAAGATATTAAATAATAATAGTAATATTGCAATAATATAATATATAAATGTAAAAAAAATTAAATTATGCAAGCAGAATTCAATTCCGCTGGTTTTTATCAAATAAATGATTAAAAAAAATCGCGTTTTTATCAAATACTAGGCTACATCTGGATCATATTCAGTAGGATGATCAAAGCAAAGATGCAGTAGATGGCTTCCATCAACACCCCAAAGCTTGCACGGTCCTTTGCCACTTCTGGGATCGACTCTTCACTCATAACATTATTAGGCAGTTTTCATTTATATACTGTTTATTGTTGATGATCGCATTGTTTTTCATATGCATATGCATACATTACATACCAGATCGCTGTTTCTGCGTCTTCCTCGCATGTGTTTTTGATCGGCACATTCTAGACTCATTCAGGAGATGCTAAGAGCGCCCCCGAGCGTATAACAGAGGGAACGGGGAAACTGTTTGGCGGGGAAAGAGTTAATCTCTCTCGTTTCCGAAAATGATCTCACTTTTATAGCTATAGCGCTTTATGCAGTACAGATTGTTTCAAAGATATTAAATAATAATAGTAATATTGCAATAATATAATATATAAATGTAAAAAAAATTAAATTATGCAAGCAGAATTCAATTCCGCTGTAAAGCAGCTCTAAAAAGAAACAGAGTGTATATTTACTCTAAGTGCAAATAGCCTGATTTATTGGCAGAGACTATTTACATTAACTCCGCCCACCAATGCCTGACTGCGATAAACAGCACTGTTTGTGACCCGAGTTCGAATCCGCATTTTGTCAGACTCCTTCTTCTCCTTTCCCCATCACATATCAAATCGGAAAGGCATTTATTTTCTATAAAAATAAAAGATTTGAAAATTGGAAATAAAACGCCTCATTAATAATACAGTGTTTATTGGGTATGGTTAGCAGTAGGTGTAGGGACTAGGGAGGGCTTTAATCATTTTAATAAATATGATAATTTACACTCAATATGTTATTGGATACTGTTTTATAATGTACTACAGTACTGATGTATAAATATCTGCCACCTAACTACTATTTACACAACCTCTTGCTTAAGAAAATACTGCTAGCCTATTTTAAACAGAATTTATCATTATTTGCACTGGTGTAACCAGAATATATCGTAATATAGCAAAAAGAAAGTAATATCATTGTTCAGTTAAAGACAGCTCAGTGTCGATTCAGTTTTGTTCAGTATGTAAAGTTCATTAATTATGAAATGAGATCAATTGGGCAATATAGTATTGTTTACTAGTATGAACCCTTATTAGCAAGCCTTTGTAAAAAGAATGGTTTGCAGATTTATTTGTAAGGTAACAGCCTCAACAGCTGTGCTGAATTAATGTTCAGTGTTTAATGTTAATTTTCATGTGACGACACCACTCTGAAACATTATTTGTTACTTATACTGTTTCACACACTATTCTTAAAAAAAATAGTAGGCAGTATGCACTGTGCAGTAAGCAGTAAGTTAGTGTGCCATTCCGAACACAGCCTTGGATACTTGGGAAGCAATCCAATTCCTACTTTTTATTTAGTAACAATTTGTCCACATGCCAAAGTGGTATAAATTAAATGCTTTAGATTTTATAGCAGTAAAAAGTTTGGACAAACATTTGATGAAAATTGTTGTCATGAAGGCTTCTGTCTAAATGTTTGAAAATAATAAATAGATTTGTAGACACATATAATACCAAGATACCTTACTTTTTTTTTGTTACACAAATTCTGGTAAATGTGTACATTTAGAGACATTAGGAATTGTGACATCATGCTACATTGCGGCATTATGATAGATATTAACCTAGCATTAACTTCACAAGCAAACACAACGTTTTCTTCATTGTTAAAGGGATAATTCACACAAAAATTTAAATTCTGAAGAATATTGGTATCCAAACAGTTTTGGTGTCATACAGTAAGTACACTCTAAAATACTCTGAAATACAACCCAGCGCTGGGTAAAATAGGGACAAACCCAGCAATTGGGTTGTTTTGACCCAGCGGTTTGGTTACTACCCAGAAGGTTGGGTTAAACATTTAACCAAACCGCTGGGTCAAAACAACCCAATTGCTGGGTTTGTCCCTATTTTACCCAGCACTGGGTTGTATTTCACCCAGCATTTTTTAGAGTGTAATGTCAAATTATGTAAAATCTTCATCTTCATCCCTTTAAGGGTCCTTGACAGCACACATATATTTCCATCTGTTCTCCTTCAAGCTGATTTGCCCATTTAATTGATCATCCTTTAGTGTGAGACTGTGAATAGATTCTTTATTGCTGGTTATTGTCATGCGAGTGAAACCTGATTCCTGTATTTAGTGTTTAGAGCAGACCCCAGGTGTTTTTCAGGTGGCCATTGTCTCATTTACATCAGATGACCGGCTCCAGGGCAGTGAGACAGGTAGAGCAGCTGTCAGTGGCTGGTCAACCTGTTAACCGTGTTTATATCAAACTCACTAATAAAGACGCCCCAAGGGTCTTCATGACCTCATAAATAACGTTGGGGATCTTACAGATTTTTTTAACCGGATAGAGTAAGATATTATTCAGAAATTGGGAGGGCCAGAATCAAAGGCACCTGTTATAAATCAGCATGGCAATAATGACAGATAGCATATTCAAAGCTACAAGTGATTTGACTTCCATAAATACAAAGCTGCCATAAGAGAAGATTATAATAGACAGATATTTCTTTTGTTTCTAGATTTATAATCATGCTCAAAACATTGATGATAGTATAAAAACAATACTTTGCAACCATAGCAACATATAAACACTGTAGTCAAGTTTGGACTTGGTCTTTATTCAAAATGTTTGGCAGCAGCATTACATTTTCAATCGAGTTCATGGATCAAATGGGCTAATCAAGAGAAAACAGGGCAGGGATAGTAAAAGACGATGGCGCTGTATTTCTCCTCGACCTGTCCGCAGGGAACTGACTCTCCTCTAAAACAACATCAGCGTTGTTGTAGGTCAGATGGTGTTATCTTACAGCACAAGCTTTCTCTTTTTCTTTCCTTGAAGATAACTTTGCTCTGTAGCTCAAGATCTTGTCAAACATGCTGATTGCTCACTTTACCTATAACCATCAGTGTTATATTGCGATATAGTGAATCATTTTAAGGCATGAAAAAATATCAGAACCCTTGACAAATTTGTGTAGCATCTGATAAATATTATTTCTATTATCAGAGAGCAAACTGAGCATACCAGCGCACTGATTGACAATGAGCTGGACAGATTTCAAGCCATACTTTGGTCTCTCTATATAATAACCCAGAGGTCTGTTTCTGTTTATCTTAAAATGCGGCCACATCAGCACACTACTGCGTCACATTAAGGCAGGAAGAGGAAAAACAACATATTGCAAGAAATAATATGTCTGATTGGAAAGTAAAAAATTATAATAATAATAATAAATGTAAAAGGCTTCCCTCTTGTTTGTTGTGATTGATTTCATTTGAATTATATCAAGAAAAGTCCAGCGATTTCGGTTTTTAGAAGAAACAGGTTTGCAGCATACACTCTAGTTACAATAAAAGTTGCTCTTTCAGTATAGCGCATCTTTTGGACTGACTTTGGAAACACACGCTAGGCCTGTGCACGAACAAACACATATCTAGCACGGCCGGGTGTACTCTTAATGTATCATAATAAATACAATAAATAGACACCATTTGGAGTAGCCTAAACAGAATCATTTGTCAACTAATTACCGACACAAATTCAACTTTGAAAATCGAATGTCGAGTAGGAAATTAAGAGTCTTTTGTTCCAAAAGCAGCAATTGTTGAATGTCAAAGTGTTTCGTGAAATGGGCGAGACCGCTCAGGAAGCCCTTGACAATAGACCAGTGTAGTTACATAAACTCAACCATGGGCATATATATATATATATATATATATATACATATAAATACAGTTTACAAAATACAGCGTCTTCAGTCGTCTGCGGTGCGTCTGGCAGCACGAGCTGTACGTCTTTGAGTGCCATCGCTTGGCATTCTCTACCTGCTAGAACAGCTTGTCGTCAGCAGCTGGAGCTATTGGACCAAGCTAAAGAAACTCGCGTGAGGGGCTCATGTCAAAGTGTTTCGTGAAATGGGCGAGACCGCTCAGGAAGCCCTTGACAATAGACCAGTGTAGTTACATAAACTCAACCATGGGCATATATATATATATATATATATATACATATAAATACAGTTTACAAAATACAGCGTCTTCAGTCGTCTGCGGTGCGTCTGGCAGCACGAGCTGTACGTCTTTGAGTGCCATCGCTTGGCATTCTCTACCTGCTAGAACAGCTTGTCGTCAGCAGCTGGAGCTATTGGACCAAGCTAAAGAAACTCGCGTGAGGGGCTCATGTGGCGGTGCTGAGCAGACTCCATCCTGCAGCAGAGACCCGGTGAAGTCATGAGGTATTGTTGAACACCAGTCACTCTGCTTTCTTGATAAAAATCTGTCGAGAGAAGTGTTGGAACTGACAAGAAGTTGCTTAACTGTAATGATCTGTAATGACATAATATACAGTACTTTGCAAGTGTCAGGCTTTTAGTATTTTCAACAACAACAACAACAAAAAAAGCCAGTTATTTCTATGTTTTGCTGTAGTGTGTCAGTAGGAAATATCAGATTACATTTCTTTTGCCATTAATTGTAATAATGCAGTGAGACTTTTGTATGCACAAGGACCCAGTGCTCCACACAGAGATCTTAAACTGATTTAAAACCATTTTTAAGTCAGTTTAAGACATCAAGACTTTTGCACATTAATGTGTATACACAAAAATGTTTTGACAATAATAAGAAATGTTTCTTAAGCAGCAAATCAGCATATTACAATGATTTCTGAAGGATCGTGAGGCAATGGCTGCAGTTGTTTTCAATTGTAATAAAAATTATATTTCACAATATTACTGTTTTTACTGTATTTTCAATCAAATAAATGCAACCTTGGAGGAGCACAAGAGACATCTTTCAAAAATGGAAAATCTTATCAACTCAAACTTTTGAACTCTAGTGTATATTGCATACAAGTTATACATGAATAATTAAAATATAAATTAAAATACAGTTTCATATATATTTGTAATATATATATATATTTACCTTTTTAACAAAATTATCTGGTAAAATAAGCAACAAAATAATAATTGTTATTATTAAAAATTTAATTATAATGTCAAATACACACACACACACACTCACACACATATATATATATACACACACGCGCACGCACGCACGCACGCACGCACACACATATACACACACACACACATATATATACTGTATATACACACACACACACACACACACACATATATACTGTGTATATACACACACACACATGCACACACACACATATATATATACTGTATATACACACACACACACACATATATATATACTGTATATA